GGCTGGCGGGAGGCTGGGCTCGTAGCTGAGCCTGCTCTGGCTGACATGCTCTCCAGGGTGGCAGGGTCTCACAGAAAGGTGGTGCCTCACCTCGCTGGGCAATCCTTTCGCTGTTTTCCTTGGCTCTGGCTTGGTTCTTTCCTAGATAAAGAACCAGATAAGCCAAATATTCAGGCAGTGGTCAAAACCAAGGCTGTCGGTCCTGGAGGTCGCAGCGGGGCTGGGTGCATCAAGGCCAGCAAGGGGTGCGAAGGTGGGAGAGGAAGGGGAGATTACCCCAGTACAAGCCGTGCCGTTCGCCGCCGCTGCTGTATAACCACCTTTTAATAAATCCCAGCTGGCAGCTGCATTTAACATTGACGTTTTTGGCAGCTGCCGTTTGCTGTTCCTTTCAGACTGTAGACGCTGTCTGTCTTCTTAATGAGCTGATTTTTTTTTTTTAATTTTCTCCTTTCCTGAACACAGATTTATGTTCTGAAATGCACTTAATAGGAATAAGCTCAATGGGCCAGACCTGAGGTAGGGGAATGTGAGCTCGTTAGCGCGCTGGCGAGTCGGGAGAGCTGTGCCATGGCTCTGTGGCCCAGCAGGGACTGTGACTGGGTGAACTGGGTGTACTGAGGACAGGGACAGGGCAGAGCTGGGTGCTCCTGGAGCAGGCTCAGCTCGAGTGAACCTGCAGAGCCAAGGAGCTGATTTTCCTTTGCAATGCAGAGTGGTTTATTCCTGTGGTGGTTGGCTCCCCTGGCTGCTCCAGAAATCCTCGGGAGAGGCTGCCTTATTTATGGAGCCGTGCATGCCATATCTCAGATGTTCCCTTTTGCGCATTCCTCGATCTGAAAAATTAACCCCAAGCGGGCTGTGCTGGTGTCCAGACCATGTTAACGCAGGTTCAGGTGCTGCTCAGGCTGGAGGGGCTCTGGGCTGGAGCTGCCCTTTGGGGCAGCAAGCGGAGAAACCTGCCCCAGCCCCTCGTGCAGTGCTGGTGCTGGGCGCCTGTGTTTTCGGTGAGCAGGGCTGGCGTTTGGCTGCACAGTGCGGTCACAAAGTGGAAAATTGCTGGTCTGGGCAAATTCCTGGTCTCTGTGAGCTGAACTGTCCAGTCCCTGTCCTGCCCCACTGCAAATCCCACCTGCTGGGCATCCCTGGGGAGCTGCTGGCCCCGCTGCCATCGCCAGGTGGATGTTTGGCAGGGCAGGGGCTGCCTTGCTGCTTTTATCTTCCATGGGAAGAGGTCCCTCAGGTGCTCTGGAGCAGGAGCCAGGAAATCCCTGACTCCATGTGCCACCACCTCCATCTGTGACAGAGGTGCAACCTCTTCATCACCTGAGCCTGCGGCCACAGCCTTGGATGCTCTCCTTGCGCCTGTCCTCCCTGCAAGTGCCTGTTTTAGCTTGAGCTTCAGTCTCTTCTGCTGCCAGGAGAGCAGCACAGCAGGGTGCCAGCCCGCAGAGCTGTAGG